TATTTAAAATTCTGTAACCTGAATTTTTTGATGTAAATTTGACTAATCAAATTTCAGCAACCTGTATCAATTTATTTGATTACTTTTTATTTTATTTATTTATTTAAGTTTAAAGTTAAATTTTTGGATATGAGTTTGATCAATTAAATATGAGCGGCCTGGTACTTTTTTTTTTTTTTTTTTTTTTAAATTGTAAATTTTAATTGTTTTATTTAGTTTGAAATTCTGAAACTTAGATTTCTGGATCTAAATTTGAGCAACGAAATTTTAGCAAACTGAACCTTTTTTTTAAATTATGAAATTTAAATTTTTGGATCAGAATTTGTAAACATTGCAAAAAAAAATCCAGAAATCTAGATAGATGATTTTTAATAAAATATTTCAATGCTATGAATTTAGTGGTGTTTAAATGTCAATATCAAGTATTCAGTGGCTGTTCAAATGTAAATATTTGTCCCTTATTTGTTTCCATACTCATTTAAGACCGAGGGCTACACCGCCCTCTGTTCCACCTGTACGCCACTGCAGCAAGGTGAGACAGGACACCACTGCAGATCAATAAAAACAAGACTTCCTGTTCTCAGTTTGTCTCTGTGGTGGCTTCACTTTGTGACTGAGCTGCATGTTTCAACAGCACAGAGGAGCTGGGTGTAATCTCCGAGGGGAGGCCCCTGAACACTCAGTTAAAGGTTCCCTGTGGAGCTTCAGACCTGTAGTCAAGACATGTGCCAGCAGAGGCAGAGAAGGAGACAACGCTGGATTTAAAGGGACAGTTTGGATCTTCTGAGGTCAAGGTGTGTGAGGTACTGATCCATAGATGTTGGTCAGAGTCCCCCAGTTTGGAGAGAGGGGCAGGAGTAACACCACAGAAGAAGATCTATACAATCAGCACAGTTTCAAGATTAGAGTCACCAATTCAGTATCTGACCAAATGTCTCCCCTTCTGTTCCTGAGATATGATGTTAAAACATGATGATGTCACAGTCAAGCTGACCTTTGACCTTTGACATATGACCACCAAAATCCAATCAGTTCATCATTGAGTCCAAGTGGACATTTGTGCTAAATTTGAAGAAGTTCCCTTGAAGCGTTCTTGATAAATCGTGTTCACAAGCATCGGACGGACGGACAGTCAGAAAATTAAAATGTTCTTGTCGACTAAAAGTTCATAAAATTCCAGTCATAAATGTTTTAGTCGATGCAAAGTTAAAATTTTAGTTGACGAAAATTCAAAACTTTTTAGTCAACAAAAATTTGAAATGTTTTAGTCATGAAAATTTAAAACATTTTTTTTTGACGAAAATTTGAAACATTTTAGTCGACAAAAATTCAAAACGTTTTAATCATTGAAAATTCATAACATTTTAGTCGATGAAAATTTAGAAAGTTTTACTTAACGAAAATTCAAAACATTTTATTTGACAAAAATCTAAATGTTTTAGTCGACAAAAATTCAAGATGTTTTAATCAGCGAAAATTCAAAACATTTTTTTGATGAAAAGTTTAAATTTTAGTTGATGAAAATTCGAAATGTTTTAGTCATGAAAATTTTTAAATTTTACTCAGAAAAATTCGATACATTTAAGTCTATAAAAATCCTAAACATTTTAACCGTCGAAAATTCAAAACATTTTATTTGACAAAAATTCGAAATGTTTTAGTCGACGAAAACTCGAGATGTTTTAATCAGCGAAAATACAAAACATTTTCGTTGATGAAAATTCAAAATTTCTTGTCGACTAAAAATTCATAACTTTCAGTCAACGAAAATTCAAAGTGTTTTAATAGACGAAAATTCTAAACTTTTTAGTTGACAAAAATTCAAAATGTTTTAGCTAACGAAAATTCATTACATTTTATTTAATTAAATAAAAAAAAAATTAGTCTATGAAAATTTAAAACTTACAAGTCAACAAAAATTCAAAACATTTTAGTTGAAAAAAATTCATGATGTAAAGTAATCGAGTAATCCTGGTGTCGACTGTTTTCCGAAGTATACCACCGTGACGCTCACGTGGCGTTTGAAGATAATTACAAGCTATTCTCGGCTTTCAGTGTCCGATAGTCCATTACGGACATTTTTGTCACGTCTCGTCAACGAAAGTGAAACATAGATTTCGTCTTAGTTTTGAGAATCAAGGTCTATGTTTAGCTCGTCATTGTCTTGTTTTCGTCATGGAAAAAAGGTCGTTGACGAAAACTTCGTCACAGTTTTCGTCAACAAAACTAACACTGCCTCAAACAACCCCACCTCAAAAGATCCAAACTGTCCCCCTGTTGCTAAGTAACACTGAACGTAAACTCCACAGGGCCGCTTTAACTCCGCCTCTCTGCTAATGAACCTTTCACACTTTGGTCTGACTCTTAAGGATCACACGAGGCCACCTGAGGGTTGTGATCACAGCACGGTGCAGGCTCCAGAGCGAGGGCCCCGGGCTCCAGAGGCCAGATCTGATCTGTGCTGTGCTCTGCCTCTGTTTGTCTCGGGCTGGCTGCTCCCGGCAGCAGCGGCGGTGGTGGAGGAGGGAGGCTCTCCCCGGACGACTGCATCCCCAAGGATGGCACCCTCTGTTGGGGTTAGGTCCCTGTCGTTGGTCTGCTTCAACCTGGAGGAGGACAGCCGTCTGAAGAGGGAGAGCTGAGGGGACAGAGAGTTCATTTAATGACGTCAGGTTACCTTGCCATACGTTTATCTTGAGCACAGTTCTTGTACCTTTTTGTTGGAGCCTGATTGGCTTCTGGCGTTGCTGTCTGCCGTCCCATTGGCTGCTTTGATGCCATCACCTGTCTTGTCTTCACCCGTGGTGTCGAGGTGCTCGGTGATTTCAGCAGCTGTCGATATCAGACGTTCGTCACAATGTTAGTCCAGGTATGTCTTTACTTTTTGGACGCAGGTTTTATCATCACAGCCTTTTCAAATATCTACCCTGACTTAACTGCCCTGAATAAACAAACCTCCGTCACCTCTCTGCTCTCCGTCAGGTACAGACTCTTCTTTCAGCTCTTCAAGTTTCTGGAAAGATGAGACGTGACATGTTCGTGTCAACAGGACGAACGAATGAATGAATGTCAGATATTTAACCCAGCTCTGTTCACTCACAGCACTCTGACTCGTCTCTGTCGACTTCTCTGTCGGGTCGTCCAAACTCGTGGACGGTGCCTCCGTCTCAGCCAACGTGTCATTATCCTCTTCCTCCTCCTCCACCTCTTCTTCGTCAACATTGTCCTCCTCTACTTCTTCCTCCTCTTCTTCACCTTTGCTCAACAACTGAACAAATCCCTTCGTCACATCCTGACACACACACAGTGAATTAGTATCAGTTTTTTTGTTCGAATTAAAAAATACTTGAAATATCTCGGCGCACTGGTCGAGACGAATAAGAAAGCTTTAGTTTAATATCACACTGAATGATTTAAGAGGATTTTCATCAAGAGGAAAGGGATTTAAGATAAAGGAAAGAAGGAAACTGTAGCAGGAAAGGAAACAAGGTGGGACAGGCTATGGAGACTCATTCCAACCAATGTGATGAAGAAAAAAAGATCCTATATGTCAATGTAATAAGAAACTTTCTCGAAATACTGACTTAAGATCTCAGCGAGTAACTTTATTAAGATACTGACGTCATATCTAAAAAGTGAGTAAGAAAGTGAAATTTTTATTTATTTAATAATGACTTTGTATCTCAAGATATTGACTTAATATTTTAAAATAATAACTTATTTTACAATAGTGACTTCTTTATTTATAAATAGTTACTTAGTATCTCAAAATATTTAGAATCTTCCTGAAAAAAATACTTATCTTGAAATTTTGACATAATACCTCAAAATAGTACGAAACTTTCTCAAGATAATGATTAACTTATCTCAAAGAATGACTTAATATCTTAAACTTATGTCAAACCTTCTAAAATAATGATTTATCTATATTGAAATAATGACTTTGTATCTCAAGATATTGATGTAATATCTCAAATTAATGACTCAATTAAAAATAATTACGAACTTTTTTTCAAAAATAATAACGTGTTTATCTCAAAAAAATGATTTTGCATCTCAAAATCAGGAGAAACTTTCTCAAAATAATATCTTTAAATATTGACTTAACATCTCAAAATAAGTTAGCCAGAGAAAGTTGGGTCATTATTTTGATACACTATGTCATTCATTTGTGATACTAAGTCATTATTCCGGACAAATTCCTTTCATCACATCGGCAGAATAGGTATACATAGGCAGGGAATGACGGGAGGGGACGACAGGACGGATTAGAAACACAGAGACGTGACAGGAAGTAAGAAAACAAGTCCCACCTGATCCTGACACCGGCCAATCAAACACTCAACAAACTGAGATGACAGACGTCAGAGTTTATGGACATTTGATTTGATATATAAGTTATTGTGTCTGTTTTTTATCTTACTTAAATAAATATCTTTGTGTTATGACGATATCACGTTGGATTGTTGGGAATTTATTATAAACACTACTCTGTATTTTCTGACATTTTAAAGACAAAAAACAATTAAAAGGAGGAAAAATACAGAGATTAAGTAAAAATTAAAATAATAATTAGCTGTAAAGACGTCAAAGTCCAAATAAAATACCTGCGTAATTTTTCCAATTTTTTTCAATTTCTGGATTCGATTTGATGAAATATCGAGTCTGATCATTCAAAACGTGACTTGTTTTTAATGTTAAACCCTCCGTCTCAAACTTTTCTTAAAAGTTATCTCTCTTAAAAAAAAAACAACCAAAACAAAATGAATGAAATAAATAGCAATATTTATTACAAACACAGAAATGAACAAAAACAGACAAAGAAAGTAAAAAGCAGGAGATGAAATAAAATAAAAATGTAAATCTTTAATCAAAGCAGCCTGTCTGGAGAATAATAAAATACTGGCATCTTATTTTTTATTTACCACTGATGTTTCCAACTCCTTCTCTTCACTGTGTCTAAAATACTGAACCAAAATAAACTAAAAACTTTCCTTTCTTTTCCCCACATGAACCATTTCAAGCTGCCACAGAAAGACGTAAACACACTCTTTAAAAGCAAAGTTTAAGACGAGCATTATAAAAAGCAGTTGTGCATAAAACATGAAGACAGAAACAGAAATGTGTCATCACATGAGAAGTGAATAAGATGATGAAATAAGAATGACAGGAATATGAGCAGTAAAGCCACCGTGAGTGAGACGTTCAGGGACCTGGTTCGTCCCCAAACTCTTATCCTCGTGTAGCTTCAGATTCATACAGACTGGCTGGCGATAAACACTCTCACGTAATAGTTTGTAAACAGGAAGATTTATGGAGAAACTCACTTTGTAACATCGGCCAAAGGGCCAGAGATACATTTTTAGTTTGACCTTGAAGATACGACTTCACCTGGAGGTCGACTGTCGCCAAGACGATGAAGCCGGGGTTCGGTAGACTTTGAGCTGGAAGACGCTCAGGAGAGTCGTACAGCTGCTGATGATACTTTGTCACTACGAGCTCTAATGATCTGATCCATTGTTAAAGCTACACTCAACACTATGCTAATGCTAACGGCTAATAGCTATGGAAGCCCATTTGTGCCATTTTGAACCTTGGGGCGTATTCACACCAGGATAGTCCGGGGGACTTTGTTCAATTGGGCGGGGACTGCTGAAAAATTTCGCACCTTCATTTCGTTCGGTTCATTTTCACGCTGCACTTTTTAAAGCGGACCAAACCGCCAGGACAACGTCACGCAGTTAAAACAGCTGCGCATTTGGTGGCGGCGTTGCCCGAAACGACCACAGACCAGGAAGAAAAAAACACGAGGAAGAAGAAAACCTCTCGCTAAACAATTTAAAAACTGCTTCTCCCGGGTCGCGCTGTTAGCTTTGTTTTTTTTTTCCTACCCGAAATGCACTGCGCCCTACGTCACTTCCTCTCTTTGGTTCACTTCCTGTCTTTGTTTCACTTCCTCTCTTTGGTTCACTTCCTGTCTTTGTTTCACTTCCTCTCTTTGGTTCACTTCCTGTCTTTGGTTCACTTCCTCTCTTTGGTTCACTTCCTGTCTTTGTTTCACTTCCTCTCTTTGGTTCACTTCCTGTCTTTGGTTCGCTGGATAGTCCGTTTGCATTTCCCACTGTAAGCGAACCGCACCAGGGTTCACTTGCAAGTGAACCGAGACCCCCAGTTTTTTAAGCGGACAAGGTTTCGCTCGTTTGGTTCTGCACCAGAGTTCGAATGAGCGTTCACACCACTCCAAACGAACCGAACTATCCGTGGAAGCGGACCAGGGTTCGTTTAAAGTGGACCAAATAGCGCCGGTGTGAATGTATATGTTTGAAACTGGGCTCTGTTGTTTCCTGATGTTTCACAGATAAAAATATTGATCGATGGTGAAGATGATCATGTTGATTATTAGAGTTATTTCAGGTTGAGGTACTGCGGCAGCACGTCGTCCCAAAACTCCTCTGACTCATCTGCTGCCTGACCTTTGACCCCTGACCTCTGTTTACCTCTGGACTTAATGCTTCTGACCTCAGCTGACTTTTTCTTTTTGACAACCTCCTCTTCCTCTTCTTCTCCTTCTTCTTCTTCTTCTTCACCCTCCTCCCCCTCCTCTTCTTCTTCTCCTTCTTCTTCTTCTTCTTCTTCTTCACCCGCCTCCCCCTCCTCTTCTTCTTCTGCCTCCTCCTCATCCTCCTCATCCTCATCAGCCTCTTCCTCCTCATCCTCATCAGCCTCTTCCTCCTCAGCCTCCTCGACCTCACTATCTTGATCCTCCTCCTCCTCTTCTTCTTCTACCACTTCCTTCTCACTCTCTTTTTCCTTAGCACTCTCTTCCTCCTCTTCCTCTGCTTCCTCCTCTTCCTCTTCATTTTCACTCTCCTCCTCTGCTTCCTCCTCTTCCTCTTCATTTTCACTCTCCTCCTCTGCCTCCTCCTCTTCCTCTGCTGCACTACTCTCCTCCCCCTCCTCTGCTTCCTCCTCTTCTCCTCCCTCTGTCTCACTCTCTACCTCACTCTCCTCTTCCTCCTCAGACGACTTAGCAGCCTCACCCTCACCTTCCTCCTCCTCCTCCTCACCCTCTCTTTCCAGATCCCCCTCTTCTTCTTCCTCTTCCTCAGACTCTCCTCCTTTGCTCTCTGTCTCCTGACTCGACCCTTCCTCACTTTCCTCCTCCTCCTCCTCTTCCTCTCCAGCATCACCTCCTTTGCTCTCCTTTGATTCAATCTCGTCTTCACTTTCACTTCCTGCCGTCACGCTTGCTTCCTCTTCCTCTTCCCTCTCCTCTTCCTCAGCGCTGTCTTCCTCCTCATCCCCACTTGCCTCCTCGCCTGCTTTGCTTTCCGACTCATCCTCTGGTTGAAGAGCGCTGCTGTCTTCTTCATCTTCGTCTTCTTCTTCTGTTACTTTCTTGATGTGACTGACATCCTCCTCTTCCTCTTCCTCGCTTACATCTGCACTGGTTCTCTGCTCTTCTTCATCTTCTTCATCCTCCTCCTCCTGTTTGACCGTCGTAGAGTCCTTACTCTCCTCCTCACTTTCATCCTGACTCGTTCCCTTCTCGTCCTGACTTGTGTCCTTGTCATCCTCAACCGTGTCCTTCTCGTCCTGACTTGTGTCCTTCTCATCCTGACTCCTTCCCTTCTCATCCTGACTCGTGTCTTCCTCGTCCTGACTCGTGTCCTTCTCGTCCTCACTTGTGTCCTTCTCATCCTGACTCGTGTCTTCCTCGTCCTGACTCGTGTCCTTCTCGTCTTGACTCGTGTCTTCCTCGTCCTGACTCGTGTCCTTCTCGTCTTGACTCGTGTCCTTCTCGTCCTCACTTGTGTCCTTCTCATCCTGACTCCTTCCCTTCTTGTCCTGACTCGTGTCCTCCTCGTCCTGACTCGTCCTGCCTTCAGAACTATCAGGTATGATGTTGATGCTGACAGCGGACTTGTTGCTAACATCCGCAGCACCACTTTCGGACTCCTCGCTCCGTGACTTTGTCGTACTGTCTTTCCTGGCGCTATGGCTGCTCTCGGACAGCGATGGCGAGCTCAAACGGCTTCTGGACGCCACCTCATGCACTAACACCGACCCTGCTGCAAGCGAGGCCGCTCCGGCGAGCAGGCCGAGCTTCGACGAAGTTTCTTTGTTTGATTCTGCCTCTTTTTTGTTTTTCTCATTCTTGGCCTTTTTAGAAAAATCTGCGTCTTTAGATTTCTTTCTAACCTCGGAGAGACGTCGACCTGAGCTCTCGTCATCCAAAGCGTCACCCAGGTGAAACCCAGGTGAGCGTGGCGAGCTAGCTCCTGCACTTCGCACCGCTATCGGTTTGCTTTTAGGTTTCGACGGCTTCACTTTCTCTGCGCCTGAAACAACCATCTTCCTGGTTTCAGGACTTTGTTTAGACTCCAGCTTCCTGCCGACCTCTATCAGCTGGCTCTTCCCCTGAGCTGGCCTCAGCCGCTGCTTGGACGCCGCCTTCCTAATGTCCCCTACGCTCGGTTTGTTCTTACTGGGCTTCCTCTGCAGCTCCTCCATGGTCAGATTCTCTTTGTTGGTTGTTCTGAGTCTGTGTGGGCTCTGAGGAGCCAGAGACCGAGCGCCAGGGCTCCTCAGGAGCTCCGTGGGTAGCGGACGGCGAGGAGACACAGCCTTGAGCTTACTCTCCTTCACTGGGTTCTCTCTCTGCCCTTTAGTGGTCTTACCGTGCTTACCCTTCCTCTATCCCCGGCACCAGACAGCAAGCAGAGGGTGAAAGAGAGGCATGCGTTAGAGAAGACAACAGAGGCATGCAGGAAAAATTAAAAGAGATAAAAGAAAAGGTTTATGAGAGAAAAATGTCACAACTCTTCTTTGTTTCTGACTTTCATCAAGGTGGTTCATGAGGTTATTTCTATTTTTAGTCTCTTCCCTTAAATATGTAAGAACTGAGAAACAAGAGGAAATTTAAGAGGAGCTGCTCCTGGAAGAGAAGGCAACACAAGAAACAGACTTTTCTAGACACTTTTTCTTAAATAGTATTTGTTATATTTTCTGGTGAGTTCTTTAAGTCTTAGAATTTCATCTTTTTTAGTGCAAGTTTGGCACTTTTCCTCAGATTAGGTACCCTAACGTGGGTGTTTCGTAGCAGCTTGTCATTGTTTTTCCAGCAGCTTTCAGGCCCTAAATATGGGTGATTTTTAGCAACTTGTGGTTTTTCCTGGCGGGATTTTGCACCACAAATTTGGGTGTTTTTTAAGGACCTGTGTCTGTTTTTCCAGCAGCTTTTTAGGCCCCACACATTGGTGTGTTTTTGGGTCCTGTGGCTGTTTTTCCAGCAGCTTTTTAGGCCTAAAATGTGGGGGTGTTTTTCAACCTGTGGCTGTTTTTCTAGCGACTCTCTGGGTCCTAAACATTGGCCATTTTCAGTGACCCGTGGATGTTTTTTTGGCAGCTTATGGACCCCAAACATCAGTTTTTAGTGACCTGATACCGTTTTTCCAGCAGCTTTTAGGCCTTAACCGTGGGTGTTTTTTAGCGACTGGTGGCTGTTTTTCCAGGCGCTTTCTGGGCCCTAAACAACGGTGCTTTTAAGGGATCCATAGCTGTTTTTCAGGCCCCAAACATGGGCGTTTTTAAGGACCTGATGCTGTTTTCCAGCAGCATTTTAGGCCTGAAAGGTGGGTGTATTTTCACAGCCTTGTGGCTTTTAAGACCTCCAATGTGGGTGTTTTTAATGACCTCTGGCTGTTTTTACAGGAGCTTTTTAGGCCCCACACATTGGTGTGTTTTTGGGTCCTGTGGCTGTTTTGCCAGCGGATTTTTCGGCCCTCATGTGGGTGATTTTCAGCAACCCATGGCTGTTTTTTTCAAGCAGCTTTCTAGACCCTAAACAAGGGTGCTTTTATGGGATCCATAGCTGTTTTTCCAGCAGCTTTTTAGGCCTTAAATGTGCGGGTGTTTCACAACCTGTGGCTGTTTGTCTTGTGGCTTTCTGGGCCCCAGATGTAGGCGTTTTTTAGTGACCCATGGCTGTTTTTACTGCCAAGTTTTGTGCCACAAAAAGTGGGTATTTTAAGCCAAAACACGATCTTTTCCTAACCATAACTACGTGGTTTTTATTGCTGAAACCTAACCACACGTTAACCGCAGCGTTAACATATTTGCTGCATCGTAACATACAAATATAACATATTGATGGTTTGCAGAAACACACATTGCCAACATTTATTCTGGTTTTTGGGTTGTAGTTTTCTGGATGTTTCAGGATGTTCTTATTTATATTCCTCTTGGAAAGTCTAATTGACGAGTTGCATTCAGACATTACCCCAGTAAAATTATGTAATTAGTAAAATGTACTTAGTTACACTCCATCACTGGTTTTCTGTATAAAAAACAACCTCAGGTATGGACCTGATGAAGAGAAGTGAGTGTAGAAGAAGAGTTGTGTGTTGGAAAGAAAGAGAGCAGAATGACGATGAATCAATAGTTAATCAGAAAACATTTAGAAAGCTTACCTTCTGAACTGGAGACAAAGTGAGTGTTTTATCACCGGGGTCCATCTTCATCACGTGTGTCTGTCAGGAGGAGGAAAGGAAACAAAATGAACACATGTTCCACCTGTCACACCTCACTCATGGCGAGTTCACTGATCTCTCACCATGTTGAGGAAGTCCGTGGTTTCTCCGAGGCCTTTAACGCTGTCCGTGTCAGTCAGGCTCTCCACAACGCTGTCTGTCTCGCCTCCTGTCTGCTCTGACGAGGGAGAAAACAGGACGCCATGTTAGGTTCAAGTTCTGAGGGAAGGTCAGAGAAAGAATACGCAGAGATCTGCTCAAAATCAGGAGGACAGGAGGTGGAGGTGTGGTGAGGTAGGTACCCTGGTGAGTGCCATTGAGCACCTTTCTGTGGGTCAGCTCAGGTGGAGGCAGTCTGGGCGGGATGGTGTGGCTGGAGACGGGCAGCGGCGGGTGCAGGTAGCCGGGCGTCATGGCGGGCAGCGTGTGGAACATGGTGCCGAACTGGTCCGGAGATCTTTCCTGTGGAGGGAAAGGTGAGGAGAGTCACGACTCATTCTCCATCTGTGGAGGAGGATGGAGGAACCAGCCTCTGTGCTGTGTACCCACCCTCTCCCTCCTGCGGACCCGAGCAGAGAGGCTCCTCTGCAGGGTGGAGGAGTCCGTCGTATCCCCCAGCAGCTCCACGTAAGGCTTCTCCAGGTAATCTTCCGTCACGTCGTCTTCCTCCAGAGTGACGTCAGCGCAGCTTGGATCCCGCGGCCGAGCCAACACAACCATGTGGCAGCCGCCGCACGGAGCCTGTACACAGACACAGCCCATACATTACTATCTGACATCTAAAAAATATTACAAACTACTGTATTACTCACAAAGAAATCAAAATATGTTCACTGTCATTGATTTTAATAAGTACAATAAACATAAAATACCTACAAATAAATAAAAGGTTTCAATTTCTTAATTAATAAAAAATTAAAAATGTATTCAAAAAATATAATAATGAATAAAAACTTGCATGAAATGTAGAAAATACATGAAAATAGAATGCAAATAATTAAGAAATAATAAAATAAATACATGATGTTTAAATTACAAAATAAATAAAAACATATAATATATACGAATA